TGATGATGATGATGATGATGATGACAGACCTTCAAAATAAAACAGGAAACATGAGACGCAGACAAGACAATATAAACTTGACAACATAAGCAGCATGAAACAGGGAGAGGGAAACTTAAATACAGGGGTAGAAAACACAAAGAGAAACTAATAAACAAATGCACTTAGATACCCTAAAGAACTAAAACATAACATCCAAATGAACTAAAACTCAAAACGCTGGGTCAAAACACCAGGAACGTGACACACTCTTCAGACTCCTTCAGAACGAACAAGTTCACTGGAGAACCTACAGGGGGGTGACGGTGTGATTGGTTGGAATAGCAGTGTGACCGAATCCTCTGCTCTGGGTCAATCCATCACAAGCTGCAGCTACACTTGCAAATGAACACACAATCACACTGGAGACACCTCGTGCACAGCTTCACAGAGGGAGAGAGGTGTAGACTGTTTTTGCTATGCAGTTCTGTGCACCACTAAGTTAACCTCTATGCTGATCAATATTGCATCACGCAGGAACGGATATGAAGATTGTGGAAGGCGGATGAAGCATGAATAAGGCAACGTGTTTACTGTGGGGAAGTAACTTTGAAGCAGAGTCAGGCTTCGTGGTCTGAACATCACGAGTGTCAACACAGGACTTCAGTACATCTGATGGTTGTTTTTGTCAAACATGACTGACCCACAAAGCCAAACGCTGACTCTGAAGTTCTTACAGAGGATGCAAGATGTTACAATTAAAATATTAAAAACTAGTTATTTTAATATGCACACAACCCAACAAAAGGACGTTTTACAGCTTCATTAAAAAAGAAAACAAAAACGTCCACAAAAGTCCCCAAGTCTTTTAAAAGTCCTTAAATCAGGCTTTTAATTAAACTTTTTTTTTTCAGCAATCACAGACAAACCTGTTAGTTGTGAGAGATTCAGAGATATTTCTTTAGATGTGACCTGTCAGACATTTAAAAAATATATAAATAATGTCCGACTGCTTTTCCAAGAAAGTTTAGCCCTGCGAGCTTGAACGAAAGAACGATGAGTGTCCCTGTTTGGAGGGGTCGAGCGATGGGAGGAAGTAAGAACGTCATCATTGGTATGTTTGTGCTTTGGTGACAGAGTATAAAATCAGTCAGTGCATCAGAGGAACAGAGCAGCAGAAATCTGTTTCACTGCTAAACAAAAAACTGCATCAGACAGAGAGTCAGAGGGCAGGTGGTGAGTGTCTTCATTATGTGTTGTTATTTATTTACTTTACAGTCTTTTATTTATTTTAATATTCTAAGATATAACAGCTAAAGCAAAAGCAACAGAACAGATTGTTTATATGTAATGAAGATAATTTTATATTAAAAATTTCAGCATTTTACAGTGATGTGAATGTTTGAGAGAATTGTACTTTGCTACTCTGTTGCATAATTTCTTAATTTTTTATTTTATTTTAAAAAAATGCATTAACTTAACACAAAAAAGTGAAGAAGTGGTTTCTCTGATGTTTGATTGGTATAAATGTAAAGTTTAGGAATGCATAAATACAGCAGTGCAATGACACATGTCGCAAGCTTTTGATAGAAGACAACATGAACAAAATGTGTCATTTAAAAAATTATTTTATGCCTGATTCACATTTTCATTCCATTGTTTGACATTTACTTCTTACTTCATTCATGTGAAATTTTGTTCATGTGTGTTTTCATTCTGT